GGTTGTTGGTTACCACACTGTAACTTAGCCTAGGCTGACAGATACAGTTGTTAAAGTAGATTTACAGAAAGCTCCTTATTTAAGTATTTGCCTACTCTGTCAGTACTCATTAATCCTCTGTAGACTTAAGCCATTAAGCAGTTTTTACATCAGCCTGTAGCAACACCCTTTCCACTGAAATAGTTTTGGAACTTTGTCTTACAGAAATTGGATGATTCTAGGGACCCTGGGCTGCTTATCAGGTGTCTGCTGGTTTTTCAGAACCCACGGCATTTCCAACTTCTAAAGTAAAGCCCTATTAATAAGCCCTTCCTAATAAAATGCACAAGACTTTGGTGTTTCTAGTGACGAGTGTGCACAGTAGCTGTGGCTGGTTAAGCTGGTCTTTGGAAATTGTACAGGTGGTTGATTGTGTCTGGGCCAGGCTGTGCTGTTGGGGAGCCCCCTGCCTCTAGCCTTCCCGTAGCTCAGGTGAGCCTTTACTTCTGTACCACAGGACCATGACCTCCATAAGCTGCCCTGCTGTGTGCCCTGAGCTTCTCTCTCATTTGACTCCAGAACAGGACACTGTCTGTCTAGCTCCCAGAGCTTTCCTTGCTGTCGCTTGAGAAAAGCCCTTGCATTCTTTTATTAACCTTTTCTTCTTCTTTTTTTTTACTGCTTACTTCACTAAGTAAGGGGATACAAATTATGGGTGAATTTAGAAAGCTCCAGATTCTTCTTAAGAAGTCCATTCAGTTAAAATTCCTAGTGTATAGTCCATGACTCCTTAGATGGATAACCTTGGATTTCCTATTGCCAAATGTCTGAGATGAGGGTTCCCACAACCTCCCCTAAAGGCTCCCCTAGAAAGGATCCCTTGGAGAACCCCTTTCTAGAGAAGGGGCTCTGGAAATGTCCCCACCCCATCATTTCCTAGCCAACTGGTCCAAAGAGCCAATGGTGGCAGGACCACAGGACTTCCCTGTGGCCTTGATTTGGGTACTTCATAGTTCTTAGGGGATCTGGGTGGGGGATGGGCTGATGGCATTGAGGTATTGAAGGTTTTCCCATTGGGGATTGTTTTAAGGATGTTCTTCATTTTGTAGTGTAAAATACCTCAGACATTTAAAGACTATGGTACAGTCATATCTACTGAATAATGTTGAGTAACCCAGACTCACTGAAGAAGTCCAGGATCAATAAATAATAGGAACAGTGATAATAATGGTATCAACAATAATAACACCTGATGATGACTCATTTTACCCTTACTGTGTGTCAGATCCTGGCCTAAGTGTCCCTGGCACATCAATGTAAGTATCATCATCAGCACTGGTTTAAAGATCAGGAAATGGAAGTAGAGATAGGATCATTGATTTGAACAACATTGTGAAGCTTGCAAGTGGCAGAGGTGGAATTGGAGCTGGGGGTTGCATGGCTTGAAGATACGTGCTTTAACTCTTTGCACTGTGCTTCCTTTCATTCTTCATTATGTTTATCATCTACGTATCCAACTGTAAATGTTCCCCTTCTGAAGGGTCTTATGGATGCAAGGTGGTATCAGTAATATTTTGTGTAACTTATTTACATTATCCATGCTGACAAAATATAACAGTTACTGTTCATTGAGCGTCTCCTCGTCTTCTCATTCACATTGGCACTTTTCCCAGGTTACTTCCAGTGCCACTGTAGAATCTAGGATCAGTAATGCAGCTCAGTGTTGATAGAGCCTAGAAGCAGAACTAGGAAGGTTTTCAGCTACCCAAACAGTTCCCTCTTCCCTAAGTGTCATGCTTCATGATGATTCTTCAGAGAAGTGTCTTGGTGCTCCCTGTGACTCTGCAAATACAGCTGCTCCAGAGCCCTCCTGTTGACTCCCCAGAGATGCCAGCTCCCATTCACAATGCTGTGATGAAGATTCCACAGGCATTAACTCATTCTATACTCAGAACAACCCCATAAAGTAGGTACTTTTGCCATTATTAATCACCATTATCCTATTTGACAAATAAGGGAATTGAGGCCCAGAAGAGTTCATGAAGATTTTATAGCCCATAAGGGAAAGTTCAGGATTTAACCTAGACGGTCTCAATCCAAGGATGACACACTCTTGGGTCACAATCCTCTGAATCCCAAGCCCAGATTTCCAGTTGGAAGAACCTGGTAGACTCAGTATGTAGCAGGAATAGACCTTGGTGTCCTATAAGCTGTATCAGTCAGCTGGGGTTATGAGTACAAACATGGCAGCTGAAGACGGGGAGCCAGAGCTGAGGTATGGGGGTGAGGGAGCAGTAGTTCTGAACATTGTATAATAGGCATTTGCTCATAAAATTGTTACCACAGCCTCTGTGGCAGGAGTTCAGATTCCACATTTCCTCGTAGACTGACTGAAGTTTAGGGAAGTTAAACTACTTGTTCTAGGCTACGAATAAGGGAGACAAGATCCAAATTCGGCCTATCTAATTCCTAAACTTTACTTTACCTGAAGGCATAATCTACTTTCAGAGGAGGATGGCCAGGACAGCTAAGAGAATTGCATTATGTGGCAGATGGTATTTTCTAAAAAGAGCTATAACAATTATCCGCCACCCTACCTGATCTTCCTAAAATATTAAGTTTGACATTTCCCCCATTGAGATAAAGGGAACATAGTCATCCTTGGGTTTGGGAGAGCTTGTGTGGCTATGGCAGAAGTGACCCTCCAGGACTTCTGATTTAAGGTCATAAAAGATGATATGGCTTGCTTTGGCAGTCTTGCAATGCTCCATCTTGGAACCTAGCCACCATGCTGTGAGGAAGTCAAAGTCTACCCATGCACAAAGACCTTATGGAGAGAACTTACACCTACCTAGAAAACGAGAAATGCCTGGCCTGCTGGAGCTGTCCCATCCCACCACAGTTCCAGCTCCAGCTACCATGTAACTGCAAACTCATGATGGACCCAGAGCTGGAACTGCCCAGATGAGCCCTTCTCAGATTGTTCTAATCTGCTAAGTTTTTGGAGAATGTGTTCTACAACAGTGACCAGAGAAGCATTTTCTGATCTCTTCACGAGGACATGAGGGCCATCTTTAAGTATCAGAAGGGCTGTCGTGCGTAAGAAGAGCTTGACTTGGAGTATGAAGCTCTAGGAGACAGCACTAATATCAACAGTTGGGAATATCTGGAAAGGCAAATTTGATTCTTCATGGAGGCGTCCTCTAACTGTACAACATTTTTATTTTTATTTTTAAAATTTTATTTACTAATCGATTTTAGAGAGAGAGAGAAAGGTGTTGTTCCACTTAATCATGCATTCACTGGTTGCTCCTTGTATGTGCCCTGACTGGGGATCGAACCTGCAGCCTTGGCATATCAGGATAATGCTCCAACCAACTGAACTACCTGGCCAAGGCTCTAACTGTAGAACTTCAAAACAGTCATGCAACAATGAACATTCTGCTGTCAGATATATACAAGTAGAGAGATGACCACTTTTGGTGATGTTGTAGAAGGATTCAGAAGACCCCAAGGCGCTTTCAACTCTGAAAAGATATAATTCCAAAGAAGTTAAGGCTAAATATGTTTTGCAGAAGAAACATTTAGTAAACCCTTCTTAGAAGAGGTAAGGGCTAATCGAGGCTTTTTAAGTTGAAGAGCATTGGGAAGGGTGAAAAGCGGAAAGACCACTCAGCTAAGAACCAATGGAAACTTTATTTAGCCGGCAACACCCAAATAACCATGCTGCTTTCATCTGAAAACCTGTTCTTTCTCAGTCATTTATGGCAGTGGTCCCCAACCTTTCTGGAGCCAGGGACTGGTTTCGTGGAGGACAATTTTTCCACAGACGAGAGGGGGCGGGGGTGGGAGGATAGGGATGGTTTTGGGATGATTCAAGCACATTACATTCAAGCTCACTTCCTGCTGTGTGACTGGCTTCCTAACAGGCCTGGGCCTGCAATGGTTTGAGGCTGGGAGACTGGGGACCCGATTTATGGTGTGTTATGGGCCTTCATCCTTCCAGATCCTCTCCCACTCACCTGAAACTCTCTTGGCTCCCTTGGTGCTCAATCCCACTGGTTGTTAAGTTGTTCCACACTTATCTCCACAGTACGTCCTGCATCTGTTCCGTATGTTCCATTTGCACGGTCACTGGCTTTGTTCATGCCATCCTCACCTCTCATCTGGAAGACTGCAACATTCCTTTGCATAACCTTTTATGAACTCGAATTCATTCCTCAGAATGCTCTGAACATGTCCGTCCTTGTCTCTAAAATCAAAATTTTTATTCAGTTCCCACTCCCTTTAATAAAAAGTTGAAATTGCTTATGTATTCAAAGTTTTCATGATATGGCAAAAAACGAGGGGCGGGGAAAGCGAAAGAAGATGTGTCAGGACAGAGACATTAATTCCTGCCTGAGTCTCTTAGGAATGCTATAAAAAATGACCAGAAACTGTACGGCTTGATATGACAGAAATTTATTTTCTCCGTTTTGGAGCCTAGAAGTCCAAAATCAAAGTGCAGGAAAGGGCTATGCTCCCCCTGAAGGCTCCAGGGAAGAATTCTTCCCTGTCTCTTTCTGCCTTGTCAGAGCTCCTGGAAATGCTTGGCCTTCCTTGGCAGGCAGCTGCATCACTCTAATCTCTGCCTCTATCTTCACATGGCTCTCCCTGTGTGAGTTCAAATCTGCCTCTCCTTCCTTGTGTAAAGATACCAGTCATTGGATTGAAAGCCCATCCTAACCCACTATGATCCCATTTTAACTCGATTACAGCTGCAAAGAGTCTTCTTCCAAATAAGGTCACATTCACAGGTACCGAAGGTTAAGACTAGATGGTATTCTCTTGGAGGTAGACTCCAACTCTCTGGAATTTACATTGGTGGAAACTTCAGAACAATGGCTTAACATAGGGATGGAATGAATCTTGTTTGTGAAAATGTTCTGGATGGAATGAAGAATTTCAGGGGCAGGGGAGGTAATATTAGCAGGACAAATCAGAATGCCAGGAGGGCATTCTGAACAATGTAACAGCATGCATGATGAAACTAAAATTTTATTCATGAAAAATCACTCTGGAAGGTGGATATAGCAAAGATTATGGGAAGTAAACTTAAGAAGTTGGGTTAAGAAGATGTCACAGTAGCCCAAAGATGAGAAGACGTCTGCACAGAATTAGATTGTTCCCCTCAGGAGGCTGTTAATTTTGTGTCTTTTGTTCAGCAATATATCCCGCCTCATAAGTGCAGGGTCTGCGTTTGTTGAACAGAAGATTGGATGGACGCAGTAGGCTTCTGTGGAAGAAAAGGGGAGTAAGGAAAGATGCCACGGGCCTTTCAGAAGTGGGCTGTGGCATCTTTCCAAGACAAGTGGAGAAGTAGCGTCAGTTGCTACTTCTTAAAGTCAAGACCATACCAGGCACCTGTTCCAGACAGAACTGACCCTCTCTCACAGCACCTGCGCAGTCTGGCGTGGTGTCGGACTCCCAGCTATTCCCGACCATAGCGTGGGCACCGGGGGCAGAGGAGGCATAACTTTACTTACGGTTGATTGAGTGTGTCCTCCACAGCACGTTGCACACAGCAGGCCCTCCCATACCATTTTTCAATGAACTAATGAATAATTAAATTTCACATTTACCCAAAATGGAAAGATTTCCTCAGATCCAGATCCAAACTCTGGATTTTACAGTTCTGTACGCTTCAAAGTGCCTGCCTGGCACACAGCGCCCCAAAGTCCGCGCTGAACCACACAGAATAAATCGGATTCATCCAGTTCCGCCCTGGCAGCGAGGTCTGCATTTGGCAGGACGACAGAATCCACTGCTATTAAATTCTTATGTAATAGTTAATGGTCCTCGCAGCCAACTTGACCTCCCTCCCACAACAAGAGAAGAGGAAGGGAAGGGAAAGGAAGCGAGAGCGCTATTTACACACACATACTCTTTCGGTGGTGCATGCACAGATTAATTTCTAACCTCGGTTCCCCACAACGACCTTAAAATACCGCTGCAGGCGCCGCGCCGGGCTGGCGGAGGGGCCGGCGAGCCGGCGTTTCTGTTCAGGCGCCTTTAGGCGGCGAGTCCGGCCTGCCCACCCGGCGCGCCCCGGGGCTTCGGGGCTGTGGGTGACAGCGGCCCCGGAAGGTGACTCGGGTCCACGGCGGTTCCCGCGGGCTCCCCGCGGGCGCTGGTGCAGGCTCGGCCCCGGCCCTGCCCGCGGACCGCGCGCGTCCCGCCCCCAATTCCGGCGGCCGCGAGCCGCGTTCTCGCTGCGGCCCCGCGGCGCGACGAAGGCCGCCGCCGGAGGCCGAGTCCGGCCTCTCCGAGCCGCGGGGCCCCGGCGGGCGGGCCGAGGGCCGAAGGTGGCGCTGTGGCCGGGCGCGGGGCGGCCGCGAGGGGCCCCGGCGCTGCGCGCTCGGCGGGGCCCGCGCAGCTAGAGCGGCGCCCGGGCCCGCGCACGGCCTCCTCCCCGCCCGCCGCGCCCCGCCCCGCGCCCGCCCCCTCCCGGGGCCGCGGCCGTGCCCCGCGTCGCGCTCCCCGGGATGGCCCGGGCGCCTCGGCGCTGCCTCGCGGAGCTCACGGCGGAGCGGCGGCGGCCGCGCTCGAGGGGCGCGCGGCGGCGGCGCGGCGCGTGAGGGGCCGCCCCGGGCCGAGCGGGCGCCGCCAACATGTCGGATACCAAGGTAAAAGTTGCCGTCCGCGTCCGGCCCATGAACCGACGAGGTGAGGATCTTTCCGCTTGTTTCTCTCCGGGGTCTGGCCGAGGGCGGGGGCAACTTTGGGAACCGCGGGGCCGCGGGGCTGCGGCGCCGGGCGGCCGGTGCGCCGCCGAGGCCCGGGAGCCGGGCGGGGGCGGCGCGGGCACCGGCCGTGCAGACCCCGGCGCCGGGGGTCCGGCTCGGCCGCCTCCCGGGAGAGCCCGCGCCGGCGGGATGCTCGGCTTTGCAGCGTTGGCGTTCCCTTTGCTTTCAGAACTGGAGCTGAACACCAAGTGTGTGGTGGAGATGGAAGGGAACCAGACGGTCCTGCACTCTCCTCCTTCCAACACCAAACAGGGAGAAAGGTAACGCGGGCGCACGGAGGGCGCGAGGGGGACGCGACACCGCGGTCTCCAAGTTTGAGCCAGGAAAATGGGAGTGCTCGCTCCTATTGTTACGAGGAGCGGCTTCAAGTTTGTCGCACACTCGTCTCCGAAGCGGTTGCAAGTCCAAGTTCCTTTCCTCCCTCCGGCCCCCCTCCCCGCTAGAGCGGCGTCGGGCCGGGCACCCAGACGGAGGGGGGCCAGATGGGTGGGACCCTGGAGAGGACTAGTCCAATATCCACATTTTACAGATAAGAAGACTGAGGCCTGAGTGGGCCGGTGTCTACCCCACAGCCTTGTTTTTCGCGGAATCACTGCCCCAGGCTCTTTCCACAGCTGCACTGTTTGCTTTATTTGACAGACTTGTTTAGGGACTTTGTGTGTACAACGAGAGAGGATTCCCACAATAAAGCATAACAGCCTTGTAAGATGCAAGCTCAGGCCTGGACCATTGAAAATCTTTTTGTTGTTGTTGTTATGAGTTGGGATAATGCCTGGATGTAATACGCGAATTTTGGTTTTCAAGGAAACAAAAGTAGTGTCAGAGCGGTGTAGACGCTGGGGGGATGTTTAAAACGGGCTGCCTTTACTAGATGGCAATATATTTGCATTTGAAAAGTTCTAACTGTTGGATCCTTATTAATTCTGCTCTATTCCACCCAGCAGTATGGGAAAATGCCCTAAAATAATTAGAATATTTGGCATTTTTCTGGTAAGCCCCCGAGAAGAAAATGGCTGGAATTCAATCAGTATAGTGATGCACTAGCTTATAAAAAATGGGAAAGAAAAAACAGGATATTTGGAAAAATTAATTCCTCTGGGACATGAGTATGAGGTTGTGTTTCTAGAAGTCACCTGTTGACTGATACGCTACAATTTAGTGATTTTTGCTCTTCAAAGATTTTTGCTGGAGGCTGAGAAGCAGTGTTTGTTACTTTATTGCTAAAGGTAGCAACGGCCTCCATTCTATAATCATGTGGTTTTCAGGCACAGTTTTGCTAAATTTGGGGGGAAAATGATCAAGATGTAAGATTTTTTTTTAACTGAGTCTAGCAGTTTTTGCAGACATTTTACTACCCAGAGCCAGATTGTTATGGTGATAGCAAGTAGCCAAGTTATGTAGTTACATTTAAAATGTTGTATTAAATGCTTTTCAATAATGGATGGATCTGTATCCTTGGGTAATATTTTTAGGTACATTTTAAATATAATATTTTAGATTCATGTATAGTGATGTAGTTGTATGTTTTGTGGTTAGTAACTAAACTCGTTGAGTACATTAAAATAGCTACAGGTTGAATTAGATAGCCGTCGATATTTTCCCCCCAGACTGGTTTATGTCACATTGTTTCAGAAAAAAATTCTGCGGGGTCAGAGTCTTCAGAGCAGCCTGGGGAACAGGTAGAATATTCTAACTCTTGTTATGTAGCTGCTGCTTCTCTTTCCCTTGCTGGTTTGGCACCTGTTCCTTGTCACTCCTAACCATAAGGAATGCAACCGTTAGCTACTATTTAGTGAAATGAAACTTGGTCACGTGTGGGGAGAAACAGATTTAATGTGGTGGAATTTGGATAGAAATTATAACTGTAGACAGTTGATTAGAAGTGCTAAATAATCCATTGATCAAATTTAGGGCTGCCACTGCCATTATTAATCAGGATTTTTTAAGGTAAAAATATGTAGGATGCTTTTGGGATTTATCCATCTGCTTGCTCATTGGAATAGCCCCTTCTCTGAAGTGACAAGAACAGCATTGAAATATGGGTGTTCTCTTGTTCTGTCCTTCTGACAGATCTGATTCTTTGAGTGGCCGATGGGCCCTTTCCGTAGGGTTCTGCCTGGGTCCCAGGCATTTAGGTTACAGACCAACTGAGAGGAGGCAATGCAACAGTGTTGCTTGTAGGTTAGGACTACTCCATGGCTAGGATGGAGACACCACATGCATTTTGATTTTCATTATGCAGCTTGGTTTCATGTTTTTCCACCAGGTTTTCCCTTAAAGCAACAGTGCATTGAAAAATAGAGACAATTCCTCCCTTGGGCTCTGGGTTGATTAATCGAGACAGCGCATCATGTTATGTTTACAATTTATTTCTATCATTGGTTTTGAGTTAGAGCTCAGGGAAAGGCAAGAACATTATTTTTCCTACCTAGAAGTCCAAGGTTTGAAATATAAGAAGTCCTTAAATTTATATTGGAAATGATGTGTCAAGTTGAGAAGTACTGTTTTTCTGAGAGTTGTTAGAAATTATTAATATATAAACTGTGAATAGAAATTTTAAGTTACTGGGTGAAAGTTTTCAGTCCTATCAGTAAAATAAATGAGAGTGCACTGATCTCCAGGAGGAGAAACAGACAGGCGTAGCTTTCATGATTTTCCCCCCTTCATGGAGTCAAAGCCAAGACTACCTGGTGAGGGCTAAAAGATCACAGGGCTTCTGAGGTTAATGGTGTTTGTTTTGGCCCTGATAATCTAAGTTTATAACATACCACAGAGGTCCAGGTTAATAGTTGATGTGTACACCATTACTGTTCTGAAACATTAAGACATATATGAATTTGTTTCTTAAAATACAGATGTATTACGATGCAGGGGACATTTCCAAGTTCAGATGACATGGGCACTGTACTTGGCACAGACAACTGCAGGTCCAGTAACTGTGGGCCCGTGAGGGATGTGAGGAGAGGGGGAAAAACCGTTAAAATGCGGTGTGGTAGAGTATTTAGACTATGCTTTTGCCATTGCATGTCCCATATTACTTGGAAGTTATTTCTTTTTCTGTCTCCTCTTTGAGGCTGTGAGCTCCTTCAAGGCAAGTACCTTGTCCTGTGTACCTGTGTCCCATGCTTCTGAGCAGCACCTGGCATAAAAGCTGGTGCTCAGCAAATGCCTGTGTAGTGCAGCACTGAGGAGGGGCCGTGGAAGTGACCCAGGGTTCTGGCACCCTGCAAAGACAGGTGGCATTTATGTTAGTCCCGTGGGTGCTAATAGTGTAAGGTTCACTTTCGCAAGAACAGGAGAAAGTCTTTGCCAAAGAAAATGAAAGCATACCTGCCAGAAATGACTTCTGGGAGATTGTGTGTGCACGTGTGTGCATGAGTGAACACACCTTGTGGAATAGGATGTAGAATCAAGGTAGTTCAGGAGTGGGGAATAGAATAAGAACCCTTAATTTGCCAAAAGAGGGAAGAGTTAATAAAAAATCAAAGCATGAAGAGATGCATGGTAAAAACTCGTCCTTTCACCCTGACTGTCACTCCTGCTCTTCCCGTCCCATCCCCTCCCCTCTCAAAAAAAAAAAAAAAGATCACCACAGTCATTGCTTTCTCATGCAGATTTCAGACGTACACGCTATCTATTACTTATGTAGTTCAACAAATACCTTTTCTATCTTTAAGTGCCAGTATTTCAAGACTCATTTGTTCTTTTTTATATCCTATATGAATAGGGAGTGGTAATTTTAACAATATTTATGGGTGGCTTATGAATCTGACCTTTGTAACTTTTTGGAAGTGAAGCTTTACTGTGAAGAGAGTATAAATGGAACTTGCTTTCTGCACAAGTTTTTGTTCTTGATTATTTTATGTAAGTAAACTGTAGGGCAAGCATTCAAAGATATATATATATATATATATATATATATATTGTGTGTATATATATATATATATATATATATATATATATCCTGGCTAAATTAAAAGGAAAAATTGGGGTAAATTTGGGCTCTTAGTAAAAGAGCATCCAAGTTTTAATTTCTTGCCCGTATCTCCCATACTGCAAGGTGTGCAGTGTACCTTATAGAGTGAATGAGGGAAGGTCGGTGGAAGAAAGCTATGTCTTAATCCTGTGCATGTATATCTTTTAGTTTATGCACTGTATATTGCAAGTTTTTATTTCCACACCGATTTCCTCTGTCACTCCAAAATACTCCCAGGATGGGTCCTTTTGCTCAAGTGTTTCTATAGACCAGAAATTTAAATATCAGTGAAAGTCATACAAAAGATCACCTAAGAAGCATAATATTCCATATTATAAAATTATTTGGGTGATTTTGAACTCTGTTTTTTGTATTGTTACACTTTTCTCTGGCTCAAATATTACAGAGTTGATTGTAAGAAAGCAAGGAGTGTTTAGGTTCCACTAATGTAGGAGGGAACATTATTCATGCATAGTATTGGTGGGAGTTTAAAGAACATTGTAATAGAGTATTTTCATTAGCTGTCAACACTTTCCATTTCTTTGTTCTATGATAAAAGTAGGTTGAGCCTTGGCTGGGTGGTTCAGTTGGTTGGAATGTCGTCCCATACACCAAAAGGTTGTCGGTTTGATCCCCAGTCAGGGCACGTATGGGAGGCAACTGATGGTGTGTCTCCCTC